CCAAAGTAGGGCGGATCCGGAGTCAGGGTGGACGGATGAGTGTGGCACGAGTGCTCGCTATCTTTTGTTTCCGAGGCCTGTGGCAGGTCGGCTCACGCGGCCGGTGGCCCTGGCATCTCCGGGCGCGGGGAGGCGCTGGGTGGGCAGAGGAGGGGCGCCGGTGCGGCGAGGCACGCAGCGCACAGCAGGCACCAGCTCTCGGGTGCCCGCGCAGGCGTCTGGGATCGGCGCGTGGCACCCCCCTCCCTGGCGCGCGGAGCGTGCCAGGGGCCACAAGTGGAGGTTTCTCTGTGTGGGCGAGTCTTCCTCGACGGCGCCTCTGCCAGGAAGCTGGGGACACAACGCGCGTGGCAGGATTCACACGTTCGGGGGCCACGCGCGTGTGGGCTACACCTGCGGCAAGCGCCTGCAGACATGGCCACGGAGGGGCCGAGCGCTGCAGAGGCATCTGGCCGATCGTGTGTCCGGCTCTCGCCCAGGCCGGCCGTGTCAACATGCAGTTCCAGATTCCTGGCGCTGTCCTGCTGCTGCCCCAGCTGTGCCTTTCCCTTAACTGCAGCCTTGCGCGGCGGTCCCTTGGGCCTCGCATTCGGCGAGCGGGGCCTCTCGCGAACAAGGATCTCGCGACAAGACGAGCACGGGCTGACCTACAGCCTGATCCCGATCCCGATCCAGCTGGTCGGACCACGCGTGGAACACTCCATTGATCGAAGTCAGATCGACGGGCTTTGACGAAGGATTCATCGAATTCCATGTGTACCTATACCCGTCTCGCCTTGGCAACATGAGGCAACAATCTACTGATCGTTCCGCGGAAACCATCAGCCGCGGGCATTCAATGCCGCTCCCGCGCCCATTAACACCCCGCCTCTGCGGGCGGTAACGGCGCGCCCCAGCCATCCTGATTGTGTGCAAAGATCTGTACCCACACCAACGGTTTATTGGTTTCCAAAGAGAGGCTGAAACTTGTGTTGCGCCCACACGCTCTCAATAGAGGAATCGACAATCAACTCGAGGTTCGTGCGATGTACATGCTGTCCCGACACCGTGGTCCACGCGAGACACAGTTTGCCCACACCCAGATGTCAAGAAAAAACGCGCATTGTTATACAGATGCCGCATTCGTGACTCTTGCCCAAAACCCGATCGAAAGATTCGCGCTACCAATGACCACGGGCAGAGCCGACAACCACGAGTCTGAGGCTTCCGGGCCCACTGCCATGATCACGGTATTGCTCTTTGAGCCGGGCTTGTCGTTCCCCGGCGCATCTTTCGCCGCTCCTGGGCTCCATCTTTCGTATGCTGGGCAGCAGCCGGAATCGCCTAAGGGCAGTCTCTCCTCCTGTTGGTACCGCCGCACATCCGAAGGCGACTGGAGACCCCTCGCGACACTGTCATACGAGGGGGGGCGGGGCGGGGACAATTCTACGCCCAGCCCACGAACCCCGCTGCCTGTGAACGATGACTACAACCGCCACGTGATCTACGATTCCACTGTGCACCAACTCACTAAGACGATAAGTCGGGCCCACCGCCACCCTGTTCGTCCTACTGGGCTTGTCGTGCTAATCTTAGGTCGGGCACGTCCTCCTACAGGGTTGAACGAAAATCAAAAATACTCAAAAACATTCAAAAAGAATCAGAAATGGTAAAAAAAGATCGTCCCCATACTATTTTATGGCTATTGTTGAATCTTCCTCCTCTAGTGGGACAAGCCAGACTTAATTCTAACCTGTGCCCCATCCTCAAACGCCCTGCGGGGCCTTCGATCAGACTTCTCGGAAGGTTCCCAATCCAGAGGCCAGACGCCTTCAAGGGTCGTTTTGTAGTCCCCAGGAAGTCCCCAGACGTCCCGGGGGGACGCTCGAAAGCTCAGAGAAACGATCCGCTCCCGATCCGTTTCTGTTGGCCACGGGGCCCGAAAAGGCGTCCCCCCTGGACGCCGAAACCATGAATCAGTAAGAAATCCGCTGCTTTACATTCGCTTGCTTTGCTTGGCATTGCTTGGCATTGCTTGGCGTTGCTTGGCGTTGCTTGGCTTTGCTTTGCGTTAAGTTGTATTGCTTGGCGTTGCTTGGTATTGCCTTGCTCTGAGCTGAATTGCTTGGCCTTGCTTCGCATTGCCTGGCATTTCTTTGCGTTGCTCTCCGTTACTTGGCACTGGTTTGCTTGGCATTGTTTTACTTTACATTGCAATGCTTTGCATTGTTTGGTTTGACTGCCGTTGCTGCGCGCTGCTTGGCATTGTTTGGCGTTGTTTGCCTTGCTTGGCATTGTTGGACACTGCTTGGCATTGCCTGGCGCTACTTGCTTTTGAGTTCTCTGCTTGGCGAACCTTTGCGTTGTTTCGCGTTGCGTTGCGTTTCCTGGCATAGTTCTGCGTTGCTTTGCGCTGCTGGACGTGCTTGACATTGCTTGGCGTTGCGAGGAATCGTTCGGCGTCGCTTGAATTTTCCTAGCGCTGCTTCCACAGCAGGGAAACAGCGCCAAAAGACCCGATGACAACAGCCAGGAAACAACAACACACAACCCAAGGAACGCCTCTTCCAAAATTATCCTGGCGAAGGACCCAACCATATGCAATTGTGAATACTGCAATTGTGAATATCTTCTCGGTGGAGCCCCCTACGGGGCCACGAAACGTACGAGGGGTGTGCCGAAATGGGTATGCGGGACGCATGCGGGCACACCCACTGGGGCCTTCAATGGAACGCCTCTTCCAAAATTATGGCGGGACCCAACCATATGCATACTGCAATTGTGCGGTGGAGCCCCCTACGGGGCCACGAAACGTACGAGGGGTGTGCCGAAATGGGTATGCGGGACGCATGCGGGCACACCCACTGGGGCCTTCGGTGGAGCTCCCTATGGGGCCAAGAAGCGTGTGAGGGGTGTGCCGAAATGGGTGTGCGGGACGCATGCGGGCACACCCACTGGGACCTTCGGCGGAGCTCCCTATGGGGCCACGGAACGCGTGAGGGGCGTGCCGAAATGGGTGTGGCTGACGCATGCGGGCGCGGGCACTGGGGCCTTCGGTGGAGCTCCCTATGGAGCCACGAAACGTGTGAGGGGTGTGCCGAAATGGGTGTGGGTGACGCATGCGGGCGCGGGCACTGGGGCCTTCGGTGGAGCTCCCTATGGAGCCACGAAACGTGTGAGGGGTGTGCGAAATGGGTGTGGTGACGCATGCGGGCGCGGGCACTGGGGCCTTCGGTGGAGCTCCCTATGGAGCCACGAAACGTGTGAGGGGTGTGCCGAAATGGGTGTGGGTGACGCATGCGGGCGCGGGCACTGGGGCCTTCGGTGGAGCTCCCTATGGAGCCACGAAACGTGTGAGGGGTGTGCCGAAATGGGTGTGGGTGACGCATGCGGGCGCGGGCACTGGGGGGTGGAGTGCCACGAAACGTGTGGTGTGCCGTGGGTGGGTGACGCATGCGGGCGCGGGCACTGGGGCGCCTTCGGTGTGAGCCACATGGGGCGATGGGTCACCACGAAAGCCGACAGGTGTGGGTGTGGGTGCACGCGGGGCGCGGGCACTGGGGCCTTCGGTGGAGCTCCCTATGGAGCCACGAACGTGTGAGGGGTGTGCCGAAATGGGTGTGGGTGACGCATGCGGGCGCGGGCACTGGGGCCTTCGGTGGAGCTCCCTATGGAGCCACGAAACGTGTGAGGGGTGTGCCGAAATGGGTGTGGGTGACGCATGCGGGCGCGGGCACTGGGGCCTTCGGTGGAGCTCCCTATGGAGCCACGAAACGTGTGAGGGGTGTGCCGAAATGGGTGTGGGTGACGCATGCGGGCGCGGGCACTGGGGCCTTCGGTGGAGCTCCCTATGGAGCCACGAAACGTGTGAGGGGTGTGCCGAAATGGGTGTGGGTGACGCATGCGGGCGCGGGCATTGGGGCCTTCGGTGGAGCTCCCTATGGAGCCACGAAACGTGTGAGGGGTGTGCCGAAATGGGTGTGGGTGACGCATGCGGGCGCGGGCACTGGGGCCTTCGGTGGAGCTCCCTATGGAGCCACGAAAGCGTGTGAGGGGTGTGCCGAATTGGGTGTGGGTGACGCATGCGGGCGCGGGTACTGGGGCCTTCGGTGGAGCTCCTATGGGGCTACGAAACGCTGTACTGGGTGGGTGAAACGCAGGGAAGAGGGGGGATGGATGATGATGATGATGATGATGATGATGATGATGATGATGATGATGATGATGATGATGATGATGATGATGATGATGATGATGATGATGATGATGATGATGATGATGATGATGATGGTGATGATGATGATGATGATGATGATGATGATGGCAGGAGGGAGGGGGCAGCGGGAGGAGGGAACGCGGGGCACCGTCTCTTCAAAACGAGGACCCAACACCACAGGATGGTTGGGAACAATATCTAGGACATTGTCTTGCCGGAGAAACAAACCATATGTATGCAATTGTGAATACAATGGTTGTGAATATCGTCTTCGGTGAAGCTCCCTACGGAGCGACGAACCGTGTGAAGGGTGTGGCGACATGGGTGCGAAGGACGCATGCAGCACTGCCACTGGGGCCTTCGGTGGGTGGAGCTCCCTATGGGGCCAAGAAGCGTGTGAAGGGTGTGACAGTGCGCCGTGATGGATGCGGGGGGCGCATGCGAGAAACGCCCCTTGGGTGGAGCTTCCCATGGGGCCACGAAACGTGTGAGGGGTGCGCCGACATGGGTGGCGGGGTCGCATACGAACGGCGCCATTGGGACCTTCGGTGGAGCTCCCCATGGGACCAGGAAACGTGTGAGGGGTGTACCGACATGAGTGGCGGGGGCGCATGCGACAGGTGTCACTGGGACCTCGGGTGGGACCCCCCTGTGGGGCCACGCAACGTGGGAGGGCTGTGCCAGAATCGGTGGCGGGGACGCCTGCATCCTCTTCATGCTTCGCCGTCTCACTGCTGCTGTCGTGCTAAATTTTCGACCCCACTTCCTTGCCATCGCTCTGACGTCCATTCCCTGTGTTTTTTGGTGGGAGGGGTCGTGCGTGGCTTTTTCGCCAAATGATCAAGGATGCTCCTCGATGGTCCTCGCCGAAGGAAAAATGCACACGTCCGAGCGATGCCAGGCGTCTGCCCCTGTCCTGCCCCTCGCGCGCTTCCAATACAGCGTGCACAACCGATGACAGATCCTTTATTGGAGCGCAGAAAATCCACCCCAATAATAAGCACCCCGACAAGCGAAGCCGTTTAGTGAACGCATCCAAGGAAGGAGCCGAACAGGGCAGGGCCGTTTAGTAAACGCCCAGGGCCGTTTAGTAGACGCCAATTGTCGGGGTCGGGGTGGTTTTACCTCCCCTGATTTACTCTCATCTGCCAAACTATTCTGGACCAACTCCTCGTGTCACTTTCTGCAGACGGGTTCAGGACGTCGCAGGGTCATTCTTCGAAGGATTGGCCAAATCCGTTCGCCGCGCCCGATCCGCCCCGCCCGGGGCCCAGACGTCCGACGACAGCATGATTTCAAGCCGCGCCCCCAGAACTCCTGGCACCTCCCGGGGTATTTTCCCGCGTCGACTCCGGTTCGAGGGCCCCCGAGGCCGCAATCTTCAACAAACCCGCCACCTGAACAGTTCCAGCGGCGGAGATCTGGGCCCACCCACCCCACCCGAAGTCCCGGGCTGGGCCTCTTGCGATCCTCTTCCTCCTGGGGCTGCCCGCCCGCCCTGATGGGGGCGCCCCGCCCCGCCAGCGTCTGGGGAACCGCGCGTCGGGTCTCGGGCAACACCCGCCGCTCCCTCCTCCCGGCATGGCGCAGCAAGTCTGTGCGCTTCTGCGATCCTCTGACTGACTACCTGCCAGGCCACCCCATCCCAACCCGAAGGCTCGAATTGCGGGTCGGGGGGGGGTACAAGCTTCATACGTGTACTTGTTTCCATGCTCCCGACCACCCCCCTACTGGAAATGGAGGGCAAATCGGTTGGCGGGATGCAAATGGGGGGATAAGTCCAGAGAGAGGCGCAACCGAGGTACAAATTGTACCTACGCCCCACGGAGAAGGTACAAGTTGTACCGACGCCACGCAAACAAGGTACAAATTGTACTTTTGACAACGTCCGCGACATGTGTGAGGATGTTAACGGGGGGGGAGAAGGTACAATTTGTACTTGCAACCCGAAGAGAAGGTACAAATTGTACCCCAACAAAACGGTACCGGATACTCATCCCCCCATGTCCTGATCCCCTCATCGCCATCCGGCCGAATCGGGGCCTTCGGGTTGGGTTGGGGTAGTTTGGTGGTCGGTGGTGATTCACATGCCCTACAACCCTCGTCAAAATTAACCTCAAAAATGTCTTACGTGGCTGAACTGTTTGTGGGGAGGTACTGGACAGAGTTGCGGCGACTGCAAGGTACTTGCATGCGCCGCCCTTCCAATGTCGGTCATCATCGAACCTCCGAGCCGTTCCCGGTTAGACACCACTCTTGCCTTGGCCCCGACATTGAAGGGCGCGCCGACATCGCGGGGGCGTGGTCGCCATTTGTGATGCTAATTTTGACGAGGGCAGCAGGACGGCGAGCTCGGTCTCGACCAGCGCAAGAAGCCGGCGGCTCGCCCCCGCCGCCCGCCCAGGCCGCCCCCGCTGGCGCGCCCAGCGCGCCAGCTCGCCCGCTGGCTACTGCTGGGTCGGGCATGTCCTCCTCCAGGGTGCAGGATCGCAGGAGTCGCGCCCTTGGGGTCACGATCCCTCGCAGCCAGCGCCCGGCCCGCGCTCCCGAGGCCGCTCGCGCCCCCGAGGCCATGATCCCTTGGAAACTGCCTCCGATGCGCGCCCCCGAGGCAGAGACTTCTGGCACGTCGGGCACGAAGCGCACCCCCGAGGCCACGACCTTGTTTAACGTGGCGCAGGGTTCGTTCCCCTGGAGCCACGAAGCCTTCCCAACTTACGCCATGGTCTCGGACACCCGAAGCCACAAGCCCTCATAAACTGTGCGCGACTCGCGCCACCCACGCTCATGTAACCCCTCGTAAACTACATCGCGTTCGCGCCCCCGAGGCAATGATCTGTAGTAATTTTTGTGCCAGATTCGCGTCCCCGAGGCCATGGTCCATTCTGGATTGCACTAGATCCGCGCCCCCCAAGCGACAACCCATGTACATTGCACCAGAGTCGCGCCCCCGAGGCGAAGATGCTTTGCACATTACGGACTCGCGCCCCCCGAAGCCACTCCCTTTCAAGTGTGGCATGTTGGCGTCCCCGAGGCCACGATCCCACGTAAATCACGCCAGGTCCGCGTCCCCACAATCACAACCTTCGCAACTCACACCAGATTCGGGCCTCGGAGGCGACGATCCCTGGCAAATTACTTCAGATTCGCGCCCCCGAGGCCACGAGTTCGTGCCAGTGACGTCACGCTTGCCAGAGGCTGCGATATTGCTTCAAGTCGGCGCCCAGGCACCCCCCACACAGCTTCGTGGCAGATCCCACTCTGATAGGGAGGGGGCCAATGCGAACCCTTACGGATAAACAGGACACCATGAACATCGGCTTTCGGAGGTCCTCGCGGACCTTCGAGAATTGATGTCTTTGCCGAGCTGTCTTTGCCGACCCATATTTTCATATATATATATATATATATATATATATATAAAGTCATATATATATATACACTCTCATACGCACCTCTCCGAGGGAGTAGAGCTCAGAAGCGATTAATGCGCACGCGTCCGCGATTTGTCTGGGCGTTTCGCTCGGGACATCCTCGAAATTCTGAAAATCGGTGGCACCCCTCACGCAGATCGCGACGTCAGGGTCCGAAAACACATGGGAAATTCAACATTTTAACATAAAACCTTCAAACACACATGGTAATTTCAATAATTGTGACCCCGATTCTCAGTGAATGGCGGTTTCGCTTGAAAGATCCTTCCAAAATCGAGACCCAGACCCCGCCTCGGAGCCTCCTGGGGGCCTCCTGGAACCTCCTGGGGCCTCCTGGGCCTTCTGAACCTTCTGGCACCCCAGACCCCGCCTCGGAGCCTCCTGGGGGTGTCCTGAAACCTCCTGGGGCCTCCTGGGGCCTCCTGCGGCCTCCTGGAGCCTCTTGGGGCCTCCTGAAGCCTCCTGGGGTCTCCTGGGGCCTCCTGAGGCCGCCTGGGGCCTCCTGGGGCCTCCTGGGGCTTCAGAACTACATGCACACAGAGACACAAATCACGCCCAACACATCACACGCTAGACAAACATAACACACACACACAACACCTACAACACACAAAAAGCACGCACCACACGAAGCATACATCACAAACACACACACACACACACACACACACACACACACACACGCGCACAACACTCACAATCCTGGGGCCTCCTGGAGCCTCTTCTGGTATCCAAGTCGGGCCTCCTACGGCTTCCTGGGGGCCCTGATACACACATCGCAAGGTGTGGCAACCCCACTTGCGCTCGAGTGCGACTTCGATGTTGCATTTCACTCCTGCTTCAAACGCCCCTTCAGTTTTTTGTATGAGCCTGGGCACACACGTGCCACTTGTGTGTATATATATATATATATTCTGGGTATTCGTATTCCTCCCCATTGTCCGTATTTTCTCGCATTTTCTTGGGAATCAACGATTAATTGTGTCTGTGTTTTTTCTCCTTCTGAGATTTGGCATGGAACATCTTGCGTGTCAGCACGGGCGTCCCAGGGGCGGCCATGGTCGAAACCGCGCCACAACAAAACGCGGTCTGGAATACGAGCCTCTGCGCAGAAGGCCCGCTGCCCCATGGCAGCCCCCCCACGAAAGGATTCCAGGGCGGAGAGCTCAAAACACCCAGAACAGAAAGGGGAACCCTCCAAAGCCGGCGGTGCTTTGCAACCCTCGTGCGAGCTGTGAGCTCCCTCCCGGTGGGGGGCCGCACGGCCGGGCGTGGACTCTTATCTAGCTCAGAGCAACCCCGGCTCGGCCGATCCAGAAGAAAACACTGCGCTGCGGTTGTCTCGGGACTCCCCTGAACAAAGCCCAGCCCAACCAGCGTGGTGCAAGGCCACCTTCAGGGCCGCGAGGAATGGGCAGCGGCATCGGCATCGCTTCCTCCTCCTCCTCCTCGATCCTCCTCCTCCTCCTCCTCGATCCTCCTCCTCCGGCTCCCAGATCCGGCTCCTCGATCCTCCTCCTCCTCCTCCGCCTCCTCCTCCTCCTCCTCCTCCTCTTCCTCCTCCGCCTCCTCCTCCTCCTCGTCCCTCCTCCTCCTCCTCCTCCTCCTCCTCCTCCTCCTCCTCCTCCTCCTCGATCCTCCTCCTCCGGCTCCCAGATCCGACGCAACCCGGAGCGGCGCTCGGGCCGAGCCCCGGGTGCGCTGGGCCCCGCCGCCACCATGCCGCTGCCCACGGCGGAGGTCCTTCCAGCTCCTGCAACATCGCCGTGAGCCGCTCCGGCGGCAGCGTGCTGCGGATCTCAGCCGCCTGCGCCGGAGGGGGGGAGCAGTAATACAGCACAGTCAACCAGTGTAGTAAGGATACGCGCTGAGGATATGAGGGCCTTGGGCGCCCATTTTCGAAGCTTTTCGAGCGGGGCGCGGCCAACGAAAGTGTCCAAGGATGGACCCAGGAGGCAAGGATGCACGGGCACCTTCGGGAGGGATGCCTATCCTTCCTATGTGGGTCGACTGTAGGAGCTCGACCTCAAAGAAGCCTTCCACAAGAAACCCGAGCCTGCGACCAGGACGTCCATTGATTTTTGGGGTGGGAACGCCACGACTTCCATGGGAAACCTGCCCAAACCCAAGAAACCCAGGGCACCCTGGAGGTAAGCAGGGCGTTCGTTGACATGGGTTTCCACTGTCCTCTGGCACAGGGGCGCGCCGTGTTTCGGGTTTCTCTCCAAGTCCAGGGCGAGCAGCACTGCGAACATAGGCCTACGACAAACATCGAAGCGTAGGCAGTCTAGGAGTGTATAGGGACCCGCGAAGCGGAGGGAGGAAGAGGGGGAGGGAGGGAGGGAGGGAGGGAAAGGAGAGAACGGATGGAGGGGGTAAGGGCAGGGCGGGAGGGAAGAAGGAGGGAGGGTGCTGGAGCAGAAGGAGGAGGGCATGGATGATCATGAGGAGGAGGAGGAGGAGGAGGAGGAGGAGGAGGAGGAGGGGAGGAGGAGGAGGAGAGGAGGAGGGAGGAGGAGGAGGAGGAGGAGGATAAATCGGCGGCAGCTCCTCCTCCTCCTCCTCCTCCTCCTCCTCCTCCTCCTCCTCCTCGATCCTCCTTCTCCTCCTCGATCCTCCTCCTCCTCCTCCTCGGCTCCCAGACCCGGCTCCCAGATCCGGCTTCTCGATCCTCCTCCTCCTCCTCCTCCTCCTCCTCCTCCTCCTCCTCCTCCTCCTCCTCCTCCTTCCCCCTCCGCGCCTCCTCCTCCTTCTACTCGTCCTCCTCGTCCTCGTCCTCCTCCTCCTCCTCCTCCTCCTCCTCCATCCCTTCCTCCCACCCCGAGGAAGACCTCCTCATGAGGAGGACACCCTCTCGCACTGGGCCCGAAGGAGCTCCTCCCCCCTCCAACGGACGGTTGCTCTTGCGCGGCTCTGGTGGACTCCGCGGCAGGCGGCCAGTCGCCATGTGCACATCTCCATCGGCTAGGCGGCAAGAGACTCCGCCAAGGTCTAGTACAAGATCGGGGTGCCTCTGGCGCGTGTGCCTCCTGGCCCTTCGCTCTCGTGTGTGGTAGGTTATGTCATGGAAGGCCTTATCAACAGACTGAGGCCCTTCGCACTCGTTGTGCCGCTGACGTCGCTGGTTCCTGTGATACGTTGCCCTGCAATGTCTGTGGTTCCAATAGCGCACGTAAACATCCTAAGTGGACAGCGCGATGTGGTATCATCCGGTGATTGAGGTTTCGTCGTTGTCTCGTGATGCAGCTTGGGCCCACATGCACGCCACACTGCTTGGGCCCAACAATGCCTGAACACGACTGGATTGCGAACACCATGACGCCTGTGGACACCGCATCACCTGTGAACACCAAAGCCTTTGAGCAGCGCAAGCAAAAACGCAGCGTGCAAAATGGTCAGTCAGTCCTGGATTGGTGTCCACAATGCAAGCACAATTTCATCCCTCCGTCCATCCTCGATCCTCCCGCATTGTCCCTCCCACCTCCTCCCTCTAACGGTCCGTCCCCCATCGATGTTTCCTGTCTTGCATCCTTCATCCTTCCACCCGTCCTCCCTCTATGCATCTCGCCATCACTCCTGATCCCGTGTGCCTGCGTCCCTCATTTATCGGTCCCTCGATCTTTCTACCCATCCATCCCTCCTCGCTCCCTCCCTCATGCATCGCTCGTTGCGCCAGTCCCTCCAGCCATCAACTCATCCCTCCTGCCTCCTCCCTTCATTAGACCGTCATCCTACATCCTTCATTTTTCATGAATCATCCTCCAATCCCTCTTCCCTTCATCCCTCCTTTCGCAATTCATGCTGTATCCTCCCTGCTCCCTCACCTCTCCATCCCTCATCCCTCCCTCCTGCCTCCGCCAACTCTTTCACCCATTAACAATTCCTCGTTCCTCACTCCGTGCTTCCTCCCTCGCCTTCAATTCCTCTACCAATCCATAATTCCTTGCTCATCCCGGCTCATCCCTCCTTCCTCCCTCCATCTGACCCTCCATCCCCCAATCCTTCCGTGTGATCCCCCCTCTTCCTCCTCCTCCTCCTCCTCCTCCTCCTCCTCCTCCTCCTCCTCCTCCTCCTCCTCCTGCAGCTCTTCCACCTCCTCCTTCTCCTCCCCCCTCCTCCTCCTCCTCCTTCTCCTCCTCCTCCTCCTCCTCCTTGTCCTTGGAAGGATCCGTGAGGACATATGCGGTGCTGGCTGGACTATATGCTCTGGCTCTTCCCTCATCAATGCAACTGGCATGGGGATCGTTTCTGGATGGGTCGGTGGGGGGGCCGCGAGGCGTCACTGCAATTTCGGGGGGCCGTTCTGAACATGCTGCAAAGTAGCCCACAACATTGCCACGGAGGTTCGACCGTCTGGCCGAATGCAGAAAAATGCAGAGAAGAGGAGGATGATGAGGAGGACAAGAATGAGGAGGGGGAGTAGAGAGGCGGAGGGATGAGTGGGAAGGAAGGGGAGGACAGAAGGGGGAGGAGACGTAGCAGGGAAAGGCATGCGGAGGAGGGCGAGAGACCGTCTCCTGTGTCCATTTCGCTTGCGCAGCATTTACAGTAAGCCTCTCACATTCCAAGCCCCTTCCCCCCCCCCTCCTCCATGGACGCGGCCTCCACTCCCCCGCCGGCGAGAACCTTCTCCCACCCACCTCACTCACCTCCGAGACTTGGGGTGGGGCGGGCCAAGGGGTTTGAATCCCCCCTCAGCGCCGGCAATCGACGACGACGAAGTGCAGGACACGTCGCCGTCGTCGTCGTCGTCGTCGCGGTCAGGTCCTCGTCGTTGTTGCCGTCGTCGTTTGCCTGCGCCGGGGGGGGGCGGACCCCCCTTCCGCCGACGTCTTCCCAGCATGGTCAGGAGACACGCCTTTCGGAGGAGGGGGAGGAGGAGGAGGAGGGAAGGGGAGGAGCAGGAGAAGAATCAGGAGGAAAAGGGGAGGAGCAGGAGAAGAATCTGGATGGAAGGGGAATGAAGAAGAGGCGGAAGAGGATCAGGAGGATGCGGAGGAGGTGGAGAAGCAGCATGGGGAGGAGCGTTGTAGAGGAAGGAGTAGGAGGGACTGGGAGGAGGAGGAGGAGGAGCAGGAGGAGGAGGATGAGGGAACAGTGGGAGGACAAGGGGGAGGAGGAGGAGGATGAGGAGGAGGACGAGGAGGAGGTGTAGGAGGAGAAGGAGGAGGAGGCGGAGAGAGAAAACGAGTAGAAGGAATGGGAGGTGGAGGAGAAGGGAATAAGGAGGAGAGTGAGAGGGAGGAAGATGATGATGAGAGTGGGAGGGCGGAGGAGGAGGAAGAGGAGGGACTGGCAGGGGGAGGAGGGAGATGAGGTGGAGACGATGAATTTTCGGCTCTGATGAACCAAGGTGTCTCGAAGCTCTCTGATCACCGAATCGGTCATATGTTTTGTTTGTCCGGCTGCGCTGGATATTTATGCTACGATAATGCTGATGATGAGGATGAGGATGAGGAGGTGGGGGGAGGAGGGACTGGCAGGGGGAGGACGGACATGAGAACGACGAGGGAAGGGGATGCGGATGGTGCTGCTGATGATGCTTCTGATGATGATGATGACGATGACGATGACGATGACGATGATGATGATGATCATGATGATGATGATGACGATGATGATGATCATGATCATGATCATGATCATGATGATGATGATGATGATGATGATGCTGATGCTGATGCTGGTGCTGATGCTGATGCTGATGCTGATGCTGATGCTGATGCTGATGCTGATGCTGATGCTGCTGCTGATGATGATGCTGATGATGATAATGATGATGGATGATGATGATGATGATGATGATGATGATGATGATGATGATGGCGATGATGACGGGAGGAGGGTGGGAAGAGGATAGGAGGTGGATGGGAGGAGGAGGAGGAGGAGGAGGAGGAGGAGGAGGAGAAGCAGGAGGAGGCGGAGGAGGAGGAGGAGGAGGAGGAGGAGGAGGAGAGGAGGAGGAGGAGGAGGAGGGGGGGGGCTCGTGGCCTGAAGACAAGGAGAGGAGGATGTGCGGCCTCGATGACGGCGCCGAGGCCCACCAAAACGGGCTTCAGGCCCTTGCTCCTGCAGGCGGTGGCGGCACGCGCGTTTTCGACGCGGGGACGCAGACATGGAACGATATGGCGAGAGAGAGAGAGGGAGAGAGAGATTCGCCAATGCATCTAGAACCACGTACATGTGCATGTGCACAATTGCGTGCACATATCCGCGTGTTCATGTGTATGTGGGCATGTATGCATGTTTACATGTATACATGTACATATGTAGCAAGGCGATTGCCGTGTGTTTATGTATAACTGTAGATATGCATATGTGTATACAAAGATACACATATGCACATTTGCATGTACTGGGACACGTGGGCGTGTCCAGGCATGTTTGCATACAGCTATATGCAGATAGCGATTGTAAGCACCTGATCTGGATCGAACAAGAACGGGAAGCACCGAGGTTGTCCATTGGGCTCGTATGTAAAGGTGATGGCGACGACAAGGCGGCAGATGACGGTGACGACAGCGTGGATGACGGGCAGGGTAGCGATGGGAGCAAGAGGACAGCGAGTAGTAGGAAGACAAGCGCGAGGACGAATAAGAAGAGATGGAGGAGGACGAATACAAGGAGGAACGAAACGCAAGACCATGCGAATAAGGAGGCGGTGAGGAACAACAACGACAAAGGAGGGCGGTAATGAGCCCGAGGAAAAGGACGTCGAAGAACGGGGCAAGAATGGAAAGCGCAGATGTTGTCCATTGGGCTCGCAGGTGGGAAGAAAGAGAAGGACGAGGGCGACGGCAAGGCGTCGGATGACAAGGATGACAGCGTGGATGACTGGGAGGGCAGCGAGGGAGCAGAAGAACAACGAGTAGGAAGACAAGCACGAGGACGGGGAGGGAGAGACGGAGGATGACGAGCACGAGGAATAACGAAGTGGAGGAGAAGGAGGAAGAGGAGGAGGAGGAGGAGGAGAAGACGGAGGAGGAGAAGGAGGAGGAGGAGAAGGAGGCGGAGGAGGAGGAGAAGAACGACGACGATAACAAAGGAGGGCGGTAAGAACCCCGAAGAAAAGGACGTTGAAAAAGGGGGGGCCTCGTGATCTTTCAAGGCTACCCTGGAGGCTGTTGGGGCCGTCTGGGGCTATCCTGGGGGGCATCCTGGGCGCCTCCTGGGGGCCTGTCGGGGTCCGCTTGGGGGCCACTGGGGTCTTCTTGGGCTGCCGGGGCGCGCCTTAGGGCTCTGTGGGGGCTGTCTCAGGCCGTCTTGGCGTCATCTTGGGCTGTCTTGGGCCGTCTGGGGGCCTCCTGGGGGCCTCCTGGGGGCCTCCTGGGGGCCCTGGTTAGGTCTTTTTGGGGGCCTCCTGGGGCTCTTTGGAGCCACGGTGGGCCCCTCCAACACGGTGTAGATTCGGAGCCCCCTCCAGAGCTACCTCTCCGAGGATGCCCCGAGCGACGCGGCCGTGTTTCAGGAGCCTGACCGGGCAAGAGCGGGAAGCGTCGCCTTTTTGGTCCGCGAGACCTGTCAAAAGGCATCCTACTGAGAACCTCAGAGGAGCTCGGGAATGGCGCACAAACGACCAGCAGAGCTGCTGTCGGTTCATTGTGCTGGTCTGCGGTGCTCCTGTGGTCCGCCGTGCTCCTGTGGTCTGCCGTAATCTTAAGGTCTGTCGCCCTGGTCCGCAATTCTGCTGTGGTCTGCCGTGCTGTTGTGGTCTGCCGTGCTGTTGTGATCTGCTGGATTAATATGCCGTGCTGCTGTGTTCCGCCGTGCTCCTATGGTCTGCCGTGCAAGAGAGCCCCAGGACGGCCCAAGAGGGCCCCGAAGACGGCCCAAGAGCGCCTCGAGACAGCCTAAAGGGGCCCCCAAATGGCCCCCAGACGGGCCTAAGAGGGGCAACGCTAACCGACAATTCGAGGTTTCCGCCCCAAGAGGCCTCCAGGAGGTCCCGAGAGGCTCCCGAGAGGCCCCAAGTGGCCCCTAAGAGGCAGAAAAGAAGTCCCAAGAGGCCCCAACACAGCCCACCCAGAGGCCTCCAAACTGCCTCCAGGAGGCCCCCGAGAGACCCCCAAGAGGCCCTAAAGAGGCCCCAGGAGATAATTACCACAACATCACCCCGGAGCCAGAGGCTTCTAAACTGCCTCCAGGGAACTCGAAATGCCCCCCGGGATGCTGCAAGAAGCCCCAGGAATCCCCCCAAAGGCCAGAGGTCCCCAAAGGCCAAAAACGGCGAAATAGGCCCCTACGAACCTTCAAACTGCGTCCATATTGCTCCCGAGAGGCCTCCCAAGAGACACCAACAGGCATCCAAGAGGTCATTGTCCCAAACCCAACCACGGTGGCGGGATGGGTCGAAGGTCAGTCCATCCGCCGCCTCCCTGTTGATTTAACAGGAGTGCCCGGCGTGCCAGATTTCGTGGGAGGTTGTTGGTTCTTTTTAAAACTCCCCCCTGGGGTTGCGGCTCATTGCGCCGGTCACCTGGAAAGCTGCGGGCGGGGTGGTTGGCAAGGCCTTTTCCACTTCGGATGGCTCCAAGATGCCACAAGATGGCCTCCAAGACGGCGAAGATGGCCTCCAAGACGGCCCAAGGGAGTCCAAAATATTCAAAGGTCGCCCAAGAAGCATCCAAGACGGCCCAAGACGGTCCAAGAGGTCCCCTAGAAGCCTTCAAGACCACTCAAGACGCCTCCAAGCGGTCCTTCAGAAGGGTCCGAAGAGGCCCAAATCATCAATTGACCTCAGGTTTTAAAACATTTGGACATTTGCATCTCTTCGGCCGTCCGGCGGCCCAACACGGCCCACGAGGGCCCCAAGATCGCACCAAGATGGCCCCAAAGGCCTCCAAGATGGAACCCTAAAGGCCCAAGAAGCCTCCAAGACGGCCCAACGAGGGCCTCCAAGACGGCCTCTTGGCCTCAAGACGGCCCAAGAAGCCTCCAAGACGACCGCCCCCAAGACGGCCCTGAAACGCCCCAAGGGGATCCCAAATCGGTTCAGAAGTGGTCCCCAAGACGGCTTCCGACGGCGCCTGACGGGCCAGGAACGCCCTCAGACGGCCAAAGATGCCCCTCCAAAAGCCCCCAAAGGCCCCCAAGAGGCCAAGGGAGGCCCCCAAGAGGCCTCCAAGAGGCCCCCAGGAAGCTCCAGGAGGCCCCAAGAATGACCCAAGAAGATCCAAAGAAACTCTCCTCATCCTCCTTTTCCCCCCCCACGTGTTCCCCGAAGGGTGTCCACAGCGGCTGGGGGAACGCATGGTCCAGTAGCGTGGCCACGCGCGCGCTTCGCGCGCATAGGTTCTAGCGCAGTCCAAGCCAACCGCAAAAGATCGGATGAAGGTGGACATCACCTGTAAATATCACCATATGGGACCGTGCTTCCTGATGAACGCTTCAAGAGTCGCTGAATAAGGCTCCAGGAAGTCGCGCAAGGCAGCCACGAGGAGGACCCTAAGCAACCCAAGGGGGGAATGCCCGACAACTCCCGCGAGCCCAGCAACACCGTGCTGGGAGTCTCTTTGGACACCTTTGGGGGGACGTTCTCGGAGGGCTCTTAAGGGGGTTTCGAGGGGGTGGGGCCTCTCCAGTCTCCGAGTGGCCTCTTGGGACTTCTTAGGGGCGCCTCGGGGGCTCCCCAGGACTCGTAGCGTCTGGGCTCGACGTGTCGCTTTGGATCCCCGCTCTTGCCCGCGTCTCGGGGCCGCTTTGAGGGCCTCCTGGGCCGTCTCGGCGGCCTCGTGGGCCGGCTTGGCGCTCCCTCGGGTCGTATTCGGGTCGTCGCGGGGACCTCGTGGGCTGTCTGGGTGCTGTCTTGTGGACCTCTTGGGCCGTCTTGGAGCTTTGGAGAGCCGAGAACGCATGAGGGAGGCGGAGAGAGGACGGCGTGAAGGAGAGACGAGGAGGGGGGAGGGAACATGACGCAGCGGGGAGGAGGGGGGAGGAGAGGAAGGAGAAGGATGTGGAACGGGCGACGGAGGAGAACCAATAACAAGAAATAGAGATCAAAAAGAACTGACAACGAAGGATTGGGGAAACAGAAACGCACTCTGGGGCACGCCGACGCCTGGGACAGGAGGGAACGGATGGGGGGGGATGGGCCGACCTTGAACAAAAAGATGTCATGGAATTCCCTTTTTCAAATTGGCCCTGGAGGCCCCTAACAGCACTTCCCAAGTGGTCCCCAAGTGGTCCCCAAGAGCTTCCCAAGAGCTCTGGGGAATCCCTCGAGAGGCCAAACTCATGGAACAACCAGGAGTGAAGGCGAAACGAGGAGGAAGGAAGAGGAACAATGACGCAGCGGGGGGGAAGGAGGGGAAGAGGAAGGAGAAGGACGTGGAACGGAAGACGCATGATAACCACGAGCATGGAAGAGACCAAGGAGAACGAACAGTGAGGGGTGGGGCAGACGGAAACGCATGATGGAAGCAGAGAGATGAAGACGTGAAGGAGAGATGAGGAACATAGAGGAGGGAACATGAAGCAGCGGGGAGCAAGGAGGAGAGGAATGACAAGGATGTGGAACGGGACGCGGAGGAGAACCAAGAGCAATAGAGAGAGAGAGAGAGATCAGGGAAACCGGGCAGCGAGGGATGGAGAAACCAGAAAAGCACTCGGGAGCACGCCAAAGCCTTGGAAGGGAGGAAACGAAGGGGGTGGTAGACCCTGAACAAACATGAATTTGAGGGAATTCGTCGCTTTTTTCCAAGCTAGGTCTCCCACCACACAGTGGAGCAGGGTGCTGGGTGAGGGAGGCGGAGGGAGGAAGGAGTGAAGAAGAGATGAGGATGAGGGATGGGGGAGGTGGAAACGCTGGTGGAGGCGGAGAGAGGAAGACGTGAATGAGAGACGGGAAAATGACGCAGCGGGAAGGAGGGAGGAGGAGAGGAAGGAGAAGGATGTGGAACAAGAGACGGAGGAGAACCAAGAGCAGGATAGAGAGAGTGAGAGAGAGAACAGGGAGAACGGACAGCGAGGAATAGGGAAACCGGAACTGCACTCTGGGGCACGCCAAAGCCTGAGACGGGAGGAAACGAAGGCCCCAACGGCAGGGTCCGCATGGGCCCCCCCGCCAATTTCGGCAAATCTCTCACGAGGGTCGCGGCCCCATGGGGAGCTCCACCGAAGGCCCCAGCCGCAGGGTCCGCGCGCGCCCTCCCGCCAATTTCGGCACACCCCTCACGAGGCTCATGGCCCAATACGGAGCTCCACCGAAGACCCCAGCGGCAAGGTCCGCATGCGTCCCCCCGCCCATTTCGGCACCCCTCGCGAGGATCGCGGATCGAAGGCCCTATAGTGACAGGGTCCGCATGCGTCCCCCCGCCCCGTTCGGCACACCCCTCGCGAGGATCGTGGCCCCATCATGAGCTCCACCGAGGGTCCCGGTGGCATGGTCCACATGCGTCCCTCGCCCCGCCCATTACGGCACACCCCTCGTCTAATCCCTTCCGCCTGCCACTGACATCATCGAGGCCTCCGAAGGCTCCCTCCGTGCTCCGCCAACTCCGCGACAATGTTTGGCACATACATGGTACCACCCTCCCGGGCGTCCAAGAGAGCCCCAAGAGAGCCTGAAGACGGCCCAGGACGTCCCCGGGACAGCCCAAGAGTGCTCCAAGGCTGTCAAAGTCGGCCCCCCGACGGCTCTGGAAGCCCCCAAGACATTCAATATCGCCCCAAGAGGCTTCCAAAAGTCCCCCCAGAGCTCCAGGGAAGCCCTCGAGATGCCAAAATCATGTAAAAACCGATGGGAACTCAATGAGATGTTGTTTTCTCGCACTTCTGCCTGCGACACGCTTCCGAGGCTTGCGCAAGCCCCTCAATAGAGCTCCAATAGGCCCCCAAGAGGCGTCCCGAGCAGCGCGAAGTGGCCCCAAGAGGCCCATTGAGACGCTCCGAGCAGGCCCCAACGAGCTCTCAGGAGCCGCCCATGAGGCATCCAGTGCCGAAGGGCATGCGCAAGCCTCGGAAGCGCACCGGAGGCGGAAATGCGAGAACACAAACATCATACACGTTCTCGTGGTGTTCCACTGATTTCGGCATCTCGAGGGCTTCCCCGGCGCTCTTGGGGGACTCTTGGATCCCTCTTGGAGCGATCATGGGTGCCTTTTGGGAGCCTCCAGAACCAAACTGAAAAAGGGACGTCCCTCAAATTTTTTTTTTCAACTTCGACCCCCCCCCTCCGTTCCCTACTTTTCCAAACTTTGGCGTGCCCCAGAGTGCGTTTCCGTTTTCCCCATACCTCGCTGTCCGTTCTCCTTGCTCGTGTTCCTGCTCTTGGTTCTCTTCCGTCTCCCGTTCCTCACCCTTCTCCTCCCTCTCTTCCCGCTGCGTCATGTTCCCGTCTCTCCTTCACCCTTTCCTTTCTCAGCCTCCCTCATGCATTTCCGTCTCCCCCTCACCTCATCTCCATAGCTTTCGGTCGGGCATGTCCCCCTACAGGCGGATTTTGGACGAAAAATAAAAGTACCCCCAAATCCGCCGGCCCCCTTGTGGGGCCATCAGACTGTAGGCCCAGGGTTTGCTGTTCTCTGCGCCAGTTCCAGTTTCCAATTTCCACTGTTACAATTCTGCTTCTTGCTGCTTGCTGTTCCTTGTTGATGGACCGCGCGAGGGGGGGGGGAGCCGAGAAGGAACCTAGCTACCACGCCCGAATCGCGCTTGACATTCGCGCCCCCGAGGCCATAAACCTTTTTGCAAATTACACAAGGTTCGCGTCCACGAGGCCATAGACCCCCGTGAATTACACAATATTCGCGTCCCCGAAGCCATAGTCCCTCGCAAAATACGGCGTATTCGTGTCCCCGAAGCCACAAACCCTTGTAAAGTATGCAATGCTTGCGTCCCCGAGGCCACAAACGCTTGCAAATCACACAATGTTTGCGTCCCCGAAGCCATGAACCTATGTAAAGTATGCGATGTTCGCGTCTCCGAAGCCAGAAACCTGCGTACATGACGCAATCGCTGCGACCCCGAAGTCATAAGCCCTCTTAATGTATACAATAATCGCGTGTGCGAAGCCATACCCCCTGGTAAATTAGGCGATATTCGCGTCTCCGAAGCCATAAACCTGCGTACATTATGGTATATCTGCGAGCCCGAAGCCATGCACCCTCGTCAATTACACGCTGTTCGCGTATTCAAAACCATCAACCCTCAAAATGCAACACAGAATTCAACAATATCATCCGAATCTCAATTTGTCTTGCCGATTACTCATCGTCTTCGCGTGAAGTCCCGACGCTGCTTCACGGCGGCGCCAAGGCCTCATGATTTCGCTCTTGCATTGCTCATTATCCGAGAGAGAGGGGGCCAGCGGCAGGGGGCGAAGCCCTTACGGATATTCAAAAATAGCAACAAAAATGAAACACAAAAAACATAATCCACTGACTATCGTTTTGACTATTTTGAATACTCCCCCTGCAGAGGGACAGGCCCGACTTAACCATAACTCCTTCATTCCGTCTTCCCCCGCCTCCCTCGCCCAGCACCCTGCTCCAACCGGTGGCGGGAGGCCCAACTTGGAAAAGTCATCCAGGCGACGGGCCCAACCATGTGCAGCTGTGAGCACTGCTCTGTGGGCACCGCTTTCGGTGGGGCTCCCCATGTGGCCACGACCCTCGTGAAGGGGGAGGTCGAAGCGCGAGGAGAGCCACCGGGGGGGATGGGGAGACCAGCGTACCCAGAGGTCCGCTCCCCGCGCCTAGCACGGCGCCTGAGGCAGCATGGGCACGCCTCCTGTCGAAGCTGTTGTAGCTGAGGCCGCCGACGCTGCAGCCCATGATGTGCAGCGGATAGCCGTCGAATTTATATCATTCTTATTCAGAGGATGCTGAGTGCAGGGGGGAGCGATCGAAAAGGAAAGGGACGAGAGAGAGACCCTCATCCAACACGGGGCACTCTCCGCGCCGTGCGCGGGGCCGGGGAGCAACGGTGCGAGGGTCACTAACGGCGCAACGCCGGGCAGTCCCCACTCGCACCGCGCCCCCCGTTGGGAAGACAACCTACGCCTGTACTTCCGCCCACTATGCAGGTGCCTCGGGCTCGGGCGCCTGAGGAAAATGGGCAACAGGAGCCTTTTCCGACGGCACTCACACACATAGGGCAATCTGAGGGTGCCCCCAACTCCTGTACCAGGACTCGTACCAATAGAAGAAGATAGAGTAGCACTGCATGACCATGACGACGAAATTCTCGTCAGAGGCGAAATCGAAGAGGAGGGTCCCGCCATCAGCGACGGACAGGGCGCAAACGAAGGGGCGGCAGCCGTCGAACACGGCCAGGTCGGGGAAAACGAGCACGGGGTAGTAGCGAAGAGAGAGGCGATCCGTGTCCACAACGGAGAAGCTCGTGATGACGGCGTAACTCTCCGAGACGGCGCAACTCTCGAGGATGGCGTGCAGCTCTCGAAGACGGCGCAACTCTCGTTGACGGCGACACTCTCGAAGACGGACCGGGGGGGATGGGGAGGAGGAGGAAAAAGAGGAGGAGCAGGACGAGCAAGAGGTCGACGAAGATGCTCCCAGAGGCGTCGTCGGGAGAGTCTGCATCAGGACGACGTCGGCGACGATTGCACTGGACGCCGCTGGTGCTGGTGGAAGCGTCTTCTCTGCGGGGCACCTCACGAGCGCACAACCTACCCACGGCTGCCGTCCGGCGGACGCGGGGGAGCCTCGCTCAATGCAGGTTGGGAGCGCCTGGGGAGCTCCCCGGAAGCCTCTGGAGGGGTCTGTTCGGAGCCCGTCGGGGAGTCCTGGGGACTCCTGGGGAGGGCTGGTCGGAGCTTCGGCTCGCGCTCCCCCTCGTCGTGAACTCCTTTTGGGGGCCGTCTTGGGAGCATCTGGGGCCGCCTGGGGGCCCCTTTTGAGCCATCTTGGGGCGCTCGTGGGGACCTCTCTGTGCCTGCTTGAGGCGGTCTTGGGGGCTTCTTGGGATGCCTTGGAGCGCAGGTGAGAAGGAAAAGCGAGATCGCTAACATTCGTGATCAAAAAACCCAAAGAAGATTAATGATTCAGAGGCCTCTCGGGGCTCTCTCGCGCAGACTCTTGGAGGTCTCTTGGGCCTTCCTGGCCGCTTCCTGGGCAGGCTGGGAGCCATCTTGGACGTCGTGGAACGATCGTTTCGCGATCCAGGCCGCGTGATGATCAAGGCCCGACAGAAGAATATGACCAAGGCTGGGAAGCGCGAAGTGTTCGGCAAATTTGTCATGGTGAAAGCGAAGCCGGCCAAAGCCCTCGTGAAGGCCCTCCTGGCCAAGGCCCTCAAGGGCGAGTTCTGAGGGCCGCGGCCTGACACCTGTGCTGAACAGGCCTGGAAGCCCACGGCCCGTCCGCAGCGTGCTTTTCTGTCTGTGCGGCTGCTGCACAGCGACGAACCCCCCCCCCCACCCCCCACCCCCCCCACACACACGCACACACACACACAAACACACACACACACCCATACCCATAGGGGGGTCGGAAAGGGCTGTGGGTGCGTGCTGTGGGATGGGGGTTCCCGCTCGAACAGGAGCGAACCCGCACGCCGCAAATCTGTTGCAACCCACAGATATACCCAGACATGCGACGTCCTGATTTTTTCAGGACGGCGTCCCCGGAAGTCCAGACCCTTTCCCCGGGACCGGTTTGTCGTCCTGAATCGTTTTTTGACGGTCCCGAAGCCTGGCGAGGGCCTCCCGGGGCCGAACATGGCTAGAAACCTCCCGTCCGGATTTTGTTTAATACGACGCGAACAGGTCCGCCTTCCAACGACCCCCCTGGGGGCGCCTACCTTTTTTTTGTTGTTGTTTCGATCCTATTTGCACATGTATCTAAATACAGAATATGATGTTTCTATATATATACATTTAAATTTGAAAAGATACATATAAAAAACATATTCCTCTTCCTATATCTTTATAAGCCCGGGCGGGGGGACCCCCCCCCCCTAAAACCGGACCCCCGGGATCTGCAGCTTTGGGACCCTCCGGACGGGCCTCGAAGCGGCCCCCTGGGCCTCGCAGGGCGTTTTGCCAAGCCTTCGCAGCACACCCAGGGCGATCAGGGGGGTCCCCAGAGACGTCCCAGAGACCCCCAAGACAGCACAAGAGCGCTCCAAGAAGCCGTCATACCCCGAAAGATCGCTCCAAAACGTACCAAGAGGCCTCCAAGAGCACCCCCAAGAAGGCCCCAAGAGGGACAATTCATTGATTCTATCTAAGTTTTTGGTGCATTTGGGGTTCTCCTCTTTTCGGCTTGCCGACGCTCCAGGACGGCGGTCTCCTAGGCGTCCGAAGACGCCTGGGAGGCTCCCAAATCACCCAACAACCATCCGAAAGGGCTTCCAGGCAGTCCAAGAGAGCCCCAAAAAGGGCACAACAGGGGTCCAAAATGGCCCTAAGAGAGCACCATGGCGGCCCAAGATGGCCCCAAGACACCCTCCGAAGCATTCCAAATCGTGACCGGGGCGTTCAGGGAGACCTCGGTTAGAGGCAGGTTGGCCTGAGGAAGCCCCAGGGGCCCCCAGAACACACCCAGGAGGCCTCCAGAAGGCTTTAAGAAAGCCTGAGAACTTTGGTGAGGCCCCCAGAAGCTCTCCAAGGAGGAGCTTCCGCAAAAAGAGCAGAGGAGGATGGGGAGAATGCCCAGGGTATGGCGAGAATGAGGAAAAATAAGCATGGAGGAAGCACAACGAACAACATTAGTATAACGACGATGCCAGAAAAGGCAGAACAAATTATCGCTAAATAGTCGGCTTGACCTTCCTGCCATTTCCGCCTGCATACCAAACTTCAAGGACCAAGGTGCATGACGCGAAGCGCCACTGCAGTCTTGTATACATACATATATATAGATATATGTATACAAGACTGCAGTGGCGCTTCGCGCCATGAACCTTGGTCCTTGAGATTTGGTATGCAGGCGGAATAGCAGGAAAGTCAAGCCGACAATTTAGCGATGACTCCTTGTTGCCTTTTCCGGCATCGCCGCTATAATAATGTTCTTCGTTCGTTATCCTTCCTCCATGCTTCTGTTCCCTTATTTTCGCCATACCCTGCGCATTCTCCCCATCCTCCTCAGCTCTTTTTTGCGGAGGTCTAGAGGCCTCCTGGGAGTATTCTGGGGGCCTCTGGGGGCTTCCTCGGCCACCCTGCCTCCAACCGCGGTCTCCCTGAACGACCAGGTCACGAGTTGGAATGCTTCGGAGGGTGTCTTGGGGCCATCTTGGGCCGCCATGGGGCTCTCTGAGGGCCATCTTGGACCCGTGTTGTGCCGTTTTGGGGCTCTCTTGGACTGCCTGGAAGCCCTTTCGGATGGTTGTGGGGCGATTTTGGAGCCTCCCAGGCGGATTCGGACGCCCAGAAGACCGCCATCCTGGAGCGTCGGGAAGCCGAAAAGAGGAAAACCCAAAATTCACCAAAAACCTACATAAAATCAATGATGTTTGCCTCTTGGGGCCTTCTTGGGAGTGAGGTCTCTTTGGGGCCGTCCTGGAGGCCTCTTGGGCCACCTTGAGGTCACGTCGGTCACTTTTCGAGCGCTCGTGTGCTGTCCTGGGGATCTCTGGGGCGTCTCCGATGACCCCCCTGATCGCCCTAGGTGTGCTGGGAAGGCTTGGCAAAACGCCCTGCGAGGCCCGGGGGGCCGCTTCGAGGCCCGTCCGGAGGGTCCCAAAACCTCAGATCTCGGGAGTCCGGTTTTTGGGGGGGGGGGGACGGGTTTTCCCCCCGCCCAGGCTTATAAACATATAGGAAGAGGAATATATGTGTACACAAAAATGGGTGGAACAGAAACGAGAGAGAGAGAGAGAGAAAAACAAAACAACAAAAGAAATAAAGAGAGAGAGAGAGAGGGAGAGGAGAGCCAGCGACACGGATGCTCGTGCAGGATTTCCAGAGAGGCAACGCCCGCGCCTTCGCTAGGCCCCCCCTTTGTGCAAGGAAGCTTGTGCAAGGGCACAGACTCGACGTCGCAGACCGGGTGCGGCAGACCACGGTGATGGCGGCGGCCAGAATCGCGGTCAAGACGCGGCCGAGCACGACACCAACGAGGTGGAAGAGAAGGCGAGGATGGGGTGGCAACGTCGCCGCCATGCTGAAGACCACGGGGTGGGCGCTGACGGGGGATTGGGCCTGGCACCACGCAGGGCGCGACGAACGAATTAGCCTGGACAGGGGCAGCGACGAACTGGCTGAGGCCGAAGGCGCTGGCCCACGTGCTCCGGGAAGGGTGGCAGCACGCGTGCTTCGTGCAGCGGCAGCGCGCAAACAGGATCGACTCGGGGCTCTGCAGGTGGGAGAGCTACGACCCCCGCAGGATCGAGGCCGTGCAGACGGCGGCGGCGAGCAGCAGGAAGGCGGCAGCTTTCCTGGCAGGCGCCTTCGTGTCCCACGTTGCACTGGACAGCAGCAGGGCGCAGCGGGCCGCACAGGCGGCCGCTGAGGCGCAGCCGCAGCCGAGGGCGGAGGGCCTCAGGAGGGAGCTGGCGCTCTGCCGGTGGTGCGGCGCGCCAGTGCTAGACACCGACCACTTGCTGTGGACTTGCACGGGCCTCCAGGGCAGGCCCCGGCACAGGCCGCGAGACCCGCTTCAGAGGCGGCTCGCCTGGCCCACGGGCGAGAGACGCCTCGCCGACGGGGACAGGCGCATCCTCGAGTGGGCGATCCATGTCCAGGACGTGGTGCTGAAGGACAGGTACGCGGCGCCCGGCGCCGACGAGGACGAGGAAGGAGGTGGAGGTGGAGGCGACGGCGAGGCCGAGGGCCGACAGGAAGGGCGCCGAGACGCAGGCGACCGCGGCACAGGCGCAGCGCGGCTGCGACCGCGAGGAGGAGGGACGCAGGAGAGGGAGAGGAGGAGGGAAGGGCACCCACTGCAGAAGCCAGGAGAGAGGTCGAAGAGGAGGAGGGAAGATGCCCCGCCGCAGAAGCCGGGAGGAGGGGGCTGAGGAGGAAGAAGAGGGAAGGGCGCCCGCCGCCAAAGGCAGGAGGGAGGCCAGGGAGGTAGGAGGAAGAGCGCCCGTTGCCCAAGGCAGTCGGGCGGCAAGGAAGGTAAAGCAACTGTTGCAAAAGGCAGGAGTGCTGCAAGAAAGGGAAGGCACCTGATGCAGAAGACAGAAGGGAAGACACCTACTACTACCACAGCCGGGTCATCTCGACGGCCCTCTTGTTTCACCGTTCCCCCCGCCCCCCCCCTGTTCAGTCAAGCTGCTTCCACAAGTAACGCAAAACAAGGAGCGACGCCCCTTGCTGGCCCCCACTGTGCCTGGGTGTACGAGGAGTGCTAGAGGAACAGCCATGAAAGGACCTAAGAAGCGGCGAGCCCCTTCGGTACATGAACTGTCCATTATTTCGGCAGATTGGCCGAATGGCCTCGCCACCGCTCCTGAAGCTTTGCTGTGCCAGGGACGTGCCACCTCCCTCGGCAGCTTTGTTGAGCGCCGCGATGGCCCGCGTGAGCATGTCGGCTGCATCCACCAGCTTGCTCTCGGACGCCTGGAACTCCTTGTCTCACAGGGGGGGGGGCGATAAAGAGATAGGGAGAGAGGGAGATCGAGAAAGGGAGAGAGAAACTGCCAGCAGACGGTGCGCTAGTGGAGAAGGGGAGGAGATGGGCTTCTTCTCTCTGCCCTCCTTCTCCTTAGCCTCCCTTCCCCTTCTTCGCACCCTCGCGAACAACACTGCAGCCATTCGCTGGCTTTTCAAGCCACAATTTGCTTGCCCTGTCCTTTGAGCAGGGACCGACCGTCCTGGCATTCCTATAGGCCACTACGAAATGTTCGTAGAACTCCAAGCTGTTCCCATAACAGACACAATGTTCTTAGAGCATAAACCGATGTGCTAACACAAGGCAGTCTCAGCCAGAAATGTTTTAAGAACATTTCGTGCAGACCACAACAGGTTCGCATAACATTCTCTGGTGGCCTGCAGGCGAGCCAGGGCGCTTCGCCGCTGCTGAAGTCCTCTGCGAAACACTGCTCCATCGCTCCCAGATCTTGCTATCCCTCGGGTCCTCCTTTATCCGGCTAGACGTAAGAGTGACCCTGGGTAAGAATGACCTTTGGTGCGCAGCTTTTGGGGGCGCGAGGCAGCCAAACCCAAGGGCGCAGGCCGCTTACATCGCATCGCGCTCGGCGATCGGGGGGAGCCCGATGAGCCCGCACAAAATGTCACTCCGGCGAAGGGTCACTCTTACGCGTAGTCGATTTTGACTGCCTACCAGACCACCCCAACCCAACCCGAAGACCCGAATTTGACCCGAATTTCGGGTTGGGGGGGGGTTCGGATTCCATGTGTTTTTTCAACGTTCCCGACCCCCCCCAATGGAAATCGAGGATAAATTTGGGCGTTCGGGTTGGGTTGGGGTGGTCTGGTGGGTGGCGAAATTTATCGGCGCATGAGATGCTCCACGTGGCCGCTCGTGGAAGCCCTGCGCCCAAACATGCTGACGCCCCGCGCTGACCTCCGCCCGCCTCCGACGGCGGACCGGCCCGCCGTCCACTCCCCTCCGCCGAGGGCCCGACGCGCCCCAGCGGGGCGCACGGGGGCATCCCTGGAGGCGCGCGTCCGACCCGAACATGTAGTAGGCCCACCTTGTAGCATATCGTTTCCCGAGCGGTGCGGCCAGAAAGCGCCCGCCACGACGCATAGACTGCAAGATTTCTCGGTGCGCGCGTCGCCCCTGGGGGGGGGGGGGGCGGCGCACACATAGTCCTAGTACGTTGGGATGACGCCGACCCAAGGCGAGGCCCTTTCTGGACGAGCGCGTTTCACTACTCGCACAATAACTACTCGCAAAGGGTCTGGATCCGCCGCGGGGGATGTTTCGCTACTCTCAAACAGCCAACTATAGTCAAAAAACTAACCCCCAGACTACTTCTTGAACATTCTCGAATACTCCTCCTGTAGAGGGACACGCCCGCACGCTGGCGCTGACATGGCCACTCCGCCGAAGGGCCACTCCGCCGAAGGGGCGGGGTGGAGGCCTTTCGGCGGAGTGGCCCTGTCAGCGCCAGCGTGCGGGCGTGTCCCTCTACAGGAGGAGTATTCGAGAATGGTCAAGGAGTAGTCTGGGGACGTGTTTTTCGACTATAGTTGGCTGGATCCATTACATATGTTTTTTGGTCGGCGGCTCCAGGGCGAAAGACATGGAGCGGGTCAACGTCCGGGGTGCGGAACGAAGATAATTGGCCGCAGTGGCGTATGCACATGCCAGGGACAAAATGACCCTCATTGAGACGCCAGCGGCGTCGGCAGGTGACCGGCACAGACATCCCAGCGGGTGGGGACGCCAAGGCGCGGCGACCGGCGGCGGAACGGAGGGGAGAAGTCGCCCTTTCGGCGCAAAGCTCCAGCCGAACCACAAAGGAAGACGCATACTGCGCCAACATGTGACCGATCCATACATCCCGACAGGTGGGGACGCAGGCGCGGCGACCGGCGGCAAAACGGGGGGGAAAAGTCGCCCTTTCGGCGCCAGGCTCCGGCCGATCCACATTCGGAGGCGAGGCCAGGACGCGGGGGGGAGGGGAAAGGGGGCAAAAGCGAGCGCCAGCCCAGGCTCACTGCAGCACCACGAGGAAACGATGGTGCGGCAAAAAGAAGAGGGCCTGACTCATCATGGCTCACTGACGCAGAGGTGTGGCTGAAGCCCGTCAATGCGCCACCAGAAAGGGACGACCACGGTCTGCGTTCACGAGGTCGAGCCACCTCCAGCCTGTAGCCAGTGCGTGCACATCGTATCCGACTCTGGCGGTTCGGGGGCACAACGATGCAAAGTACTGACGGGGGCTGGTAGCAGACTGATCTGCTAGGGGAGCGACCACGAACTGCGGAAGGCTGAACCACTCGGTGCAGGGCCACTCCCTGGCGAAGCCAAACATCGGGCATCACCGGAAGTATGGCAGGATCCATTACATACAGGAAGACACGTTTCTGCTCGGACGCCTGCGAGCAGGCGCTCCGCGAGTGGCGGAGCGCGCTCGGTGCCTCTCTCTGGAGCGCCCGGCCGGGAGCGCCACGGCATATACAGCCCCCGCGCCCCTGCCGCGGGGCGGGGCGCCGAGCAGATCTCGCCGCGGAGCTCCGGCGGCCCGACATCATTGGGGGGGCCCCAGGACACACAAATACATACACACAAATAAAAATATTCTCCATATTTCCTAATATTTTCTGGGTTTCTGTCTTCCCCCCCACTTCCCATATTTTCCAATATTTTCTGGGGAATCGACGATTCATTGTGTCTGTGTGTTTCTTTTCCTCTTGAATCATTTGTGGCAGCCCATTCTGGCGAAGCCGTCCCGTCGTGCCTGCCACGGGGAGCGCGAGGTAGGGAACGCACGGTGGGTTTCCTGGCCGCACGCGCCTGTGCAACGAACGTGGGTCCCCGGCTCTGGTCCGAGGAGCAGCCCGAAGACCAGAGCCCGCCCTGACCCAAGAGCGATCCTTCCTTCAGCGCCTTGGCTGTGCCACCCTCGGTGCTGGCATCGCGAGATTGCCCTACCCAAATGTTGCGTCCAACCGCCTCGGAGCTGCATGTGTCACGCAAGTCCATGCTTGGACGAGAGGGCGCCCTTCCTCGGAAACGCAGGAGGCATGCAAACCGCCTGGTGATGCATTGGCAATACCATCCAGTGCTTGCTTGATCAAAGTGCGCGTTTCTTGGCCCTGGATGCGATGTGTACAACTGGTCCGTACAATGGCAACGTGACACCGCTTGCGTACATCGACCTGTCGGAGCCGAATCGAAGAGTTTCACCGGTGCCCAACGTCGCTGTCTTGAACAAATCTTGCCAGCGATCGCCTTCATATCGGTGTCAGGCCTGAGCGTGAAGATCACTGGCCTCCCCACATGCGTTTCTAATGATGTTGCTTGTGCTACCGCAAACAGCATCCAAACCTGCTACGAGATAACCGCTGGCCAGTCCGAGCAAAGCAAGCGGCGAAGGCGAATGCGACGTCCTGCATGCCGTCCGACGCTTGGCCTGTGAATGTGCTGACACCTGTGGCAGCCTTTCCCCAAACATTGACGGTTGGACGCAAAGGTGCGGTAATTTTAGAAGTAGAGGCGAGGTCAAAGGAACTTCGGTCTGAACGACCCCTGGAAAAAAGAACTCGGGGCATCGGGCTGGATTCGCTCCCTGACCCCACCTTGGGATAACGCCCCTTCTACGTACTGTCGGACCTAGGACAGAAGAACCCTCTCCAAGAACATGAGGCCCTCCGCTGGCCAAAGCACAGAACGTCCAAGGGTGTCCAAGAACATCCAACAAACACGAAGAACATCAGGATACCCTCCCCGAACCGACCTCGATTTTATACATCGGTCCGACTGTACCCCCAACATTGCCCCGGATCCACTGTGCGACTGGCTCAGCGTCACTGCGCCGACCTTGCAGACGTGCTGCAGCGGATTTTTGTTGGTGGATTTCTGCCAATGCGAAGTCCCCTAAGCGGCGAGCGACAAACGAAGTGAATTTCACGTGGATGTGTTTTACATAGGTCTTCACTCCTGGCCACAAAGAGTCCGCGCGAAGTTCACTTCAAAATCCGGGGCGAAGTTCTCCAGGATTCTCCAGGCCCATCCTACAAGGTCGACGATCTCGAATCGCGCTCGTTTCGAATTGTTCCTGGCCCCTCTAGTGGCCAGGAAGAGGCGCAGGAAGTCTTGGCCCCCCCCGAAAATCAGAGACCTTTCGAAGCAAATGAGACGTGATCCACGCGTATCCTCTTCCGAACGAGATCCGGTCTGCGATGCCTGCCCTCGACGCCAGCCTCGGGGATCTTCTGACCCGGGTCAATCCAGACCCGGGTCCGTCAAGACTGCAAGCTCCTGCAAGCTCCTGCAAGATCCTGCACCCGAACCCGGGTCAGCGCGAAGGATCCTGCAGGCTCCTGCACCCAAACCTGGGTCAATGCGACCCTGGCCCTGCAGGGTCCTGCAAGATCGGGCGCTCTGGCTGACCCCCGTTTGCATTGACCCCCCCCTGACTCCGGATCCGCCCTACTTTGGGGAAATCCGTAAGTGGGGCTTGGAATTTCCGCCTTACTTTTCAAGCCCCGCTGATGCCAATTTCCGCCCTACCTTTCTGTTGTTGTTTCCGCCCTACTTCTGTGGATTTCCGCCCCATCTTATGTTGGGTACAGAAATTTCCGCCCTACCTTTTCGGCTCCTTGTTGGCGGATTTCCGACGCAATTTTAAGTTGGAAAAAAAGCCAAAGTAGGGCGGATCTGGAGTCAGGGCCCCGTTTGCATTGACCCCCGTCTCAAGGCTCCCGACAGCCGTGCGCACCTCTCGCCCCAGCGCCGCACGCCGCACGCCCTGCAACGCCGCAGCGCTGCGCCTCGCCGGCGGCGGGGCCCGCCGCGCGCCCGGCAGGCGGCACAGCTGCCCCCGCCGAGCCCGCTGCGGGAGCGCTGCCTCGCACCAGCGTCAGGTCGGGCATCCCTGACTCCGGATCCGCCCTACTTTTGGGAAGTTCGTAGGTAGGGCTTGGAATTTCCGCCCTACTTTCCAAGCCCCGCTGATGCCAATTTCCGCCCTACTTTTCTGTTGTTGTTTCCGCCCTACTTCTGGGGATTTTCGTTCCATTTTATGTTGGGTGCAGAAATTTCCGCCCTACTGTTTCGGCTCCTTATAGGTGGATTTCCGACGGAATTTTAAGTTGGAAAAAAAAGCCAAAGTAGGGTGGATCTGGAGTCAGGGATGTCATACATGAAGGGGCCCCAGGACCCACAAATAAATACCAATAAAATCACCCCCCATATTTTCCCATATCTTCTGGGTTTCTGTCTTCCAACCCCCACTTCCCATAGTTTCCCATCTTTTCTGGGGAATCGACGACTCATTGTGTCTGTGTGTCTTTTTCCCTACTGAATACAGGCGGAGTCTGGATGGGAAAATGTGCTTCAAAAATACCCCAGAAAGATTCAAAACTCGTCAAACAGAGGATCGAAAACTCTACCCCTGACCAGTTTTGACTATGTTGGAATCTTCCTCCCAAGCCAGGGGGGCAAACGATTGCGAAAATGACCCCCCCCGGTCCCGGGAGCCCCCAAAGAAATCAGTGGGGCAGACTAAGAGAACTCAGCCGCCGGAAACTGTTTTTCTAATCGTCTGCCCCCTGGCGTTTTGTTTTGCCGCCTTGCGAGAACTAATTTTCTATTCGTCCTCCTGCGTTCGTTTGATCACCCGCGGCCGCGGGAGGAGGATTGCGGAGAGGGGGCGCCAGAAGCGTCGCTAAGGAGTTCTCAACTTTTGCTGCTTGCCCCGCTCTGACTTGACACCCCGCCCTCCCCCTGAATTGTCAGCCCGCGCTCCCCCCCGGGCCTCCAGACAACCCGGGATTGTCCGCCCTCCGTCTGCCTGCCCCGCAACCCTGCTATTGTGGTGGCGCGAAGGCCCACGAAACTATTTGTTTTATCGTCCTCCCCAGAAAATTGACATATTCGTTTGCTCCAGCGTGGTGGGGCGGTGCGGAGTGGACCTCCCCGTGAAGCGAGACGCCGAGGAGGCGGGCGGGGCAGGGCGGCTCGCCATCCACCCGCCCTCCCCCCTCCGGGAACCCCTCCCGGCTGGTCCTTTCTCGGGACACCAAAAGGTACTGCTACCGCTGCCCCCTGGACCATCCTCCTCCTCCTCCTCCTCCTCCTCCTCCTCCTCCTCCTCCTCCTCCTCCTCCTCCTCCTCCTCCTCCTCCTCCTCCTCCTCCTCCTCCTCCTCCTTTCGGGGAACTCAAAAGGTACCGATCCCGCTACTCCCCGGACCTCTCCCGGGGTGCGCTCTGACCAGGATTTCGGGGCGAGGCCAGCGGTGGCGACGCAGGCGTCCCCGGGAACCCCCGAAGAGAGGAACACGGCCGACGGGTAGAGAGGTAGGGGTACCTCGTCCTCCTCTGACTTCGAGCCGCGTCCAGCCGCGGTGACGAGGTCCTCCCAGAAGCACGAACAACGAGCGGCATACAAGCGACCTGTATCATAAGGACGCTCGATGAGGATGCAAGGGCCTCGGAAGGCCAATGTCGACACTTTTCGAGCGGGGCGCGGCCGACGACAGTGGTCGAGGATGGACCGAGGATGCAAGGATGCAAGGGTATCCTTGGGAAGGTTGCCCATCCCTACTATGTGGGCTGACTGTGAACATACACGTTCGTCGGTGCGCGCGGGCTCTTCCAGTCGGCGCGGGCCGCCGTCCCTGGCGCGCGGAGTGCGCCAGGCTGGCGCCGCCAAGGCTGTCGAAGCGCAGGCCTAAGACATCCGCGCGATGCTCCAAACGCTTATGCTTGAGTCGGGCCTGTCCCCCTACGGGCGGAACATTCAAGAATGGTCAAAAAGTAGTCTGGGGCCTGGGGGCGATTGTTCGATTATTGTTCGACTATTTTTGAATACCTTTGACTATTCTCTGTTTTTATTCCAAAATCCGCCTGTAGGAGGACATGCCCGACCTAAGCTTATGCTTATACCTTTGTTCTTCTTCGAACATCGGAAACGAAAACGTCGACGTCGCCGTCCTGGATTGAGCAGGGGCCGACCGTCCCGGCAGTCCGATATGCTTACCACGAAATGATCCCAGAGTAAAAAAAGTTCTCATAACCGAACGTGCTCTTAACACATCAAAGCGATGCATTCAACCAAGACCGTCTGAGCCAGAGCTGTTCCAAGAACACGTCGTGCAAACCACGAAAGGATCTTAGAACACTTCGGTAGGGCCTAGAAGCCAGTCAGGACGCATCGCCACAGGAGGAGGATGATGCTTGAGTGGAGGGGATGCTTCCCGCGCCGATGGGGCACAGGGGGCAAGCGGGGGGGCGGTGCGGGTAGGCTGGTCCTTCTCCTCCTCGCTCCGCACCGCGGTCGCGTCCTTCAGCTTCTGGTCGTTCTGCGCCAGCTGGTCGGTGATCTCCTGCAGGCCTCCTCCCTATCTCCCTCCTCCGCCAGCTGGATGAAGGAGGAGGACGGAGACGAGGAGGGAGGAAGGTCCTCCTGGCTCCTCCCTCCTCCCTCCTATCCCCCCCTCCCTCCGCCCTCCTCCCATCTCCCTCCTCCCTCCCTCGTCATTCCTCGTCCTTCCACTCTCGAAGTGCTGTACTCTGGGGCGCTGCACAGAAAGCAATAATTGAAACGACATCGCTGGCCCATGGCAATTTGCAAACATATGCTTCATGAAAGACTGCGCAATTTCTACGTATGCATCGTGCACGTCCCCGAAGTACATCTAGTGCTCAGAATGGATTGGAGGTGTCGCATACCGTCGCGGTACAGGCCGCAAGAAGAAGACCGCATGCGTGAAGAATACATTCGCGGACGCGTTGCTGCTTACAATGCTCGTGGTCGCCGCCGACTCCGCCGTGCGTCTGCGGGCCCTGTGGCCACAAAGAGCACGACCGCTACGTCAACTGGTGCTGCAGCATCTGCGGCGGCGACCAATTACGTGGACGCCGCCGCCGCCGCTGCTGTGCAGAACGGAGGCGGAGGTAGAGGAAAAACAACTGCATGAACGAAAACATTTGACGGTCCGCGCGGATTTATTGGATCTGCGCTGGAACCCCCTCCCTGGCGCGCGGAGCGCGCCAGGGGCGGTGCCGGAGGTGCCGCCATGGGGGGGCCCGCGTAGATCCGAGAAATCCTCGCGGACCGTCCACAGCTACTCTGGGTTTTCTTAACAAGCGTGGGGGGGATACCCCCCCGACAGCGGTCAACCTCGCCTCGTCGTCGCGCTGCGACGGGTGTCGGAGCGCCTTCGGCGCGCGGTGGCTGCCCGCGACGGGGGTCGATGTGGGGTTGCCGGCGGGGGTGACGCCCCCCCGACGGTTATTAAGAAACTCGGAGTAATGTTCATGCAGTTTTTCTTCTTCGAGGAGGGGGGCTCGCCAAACAGTCGGCGGCTTTGGCGCGACGATTCCCTGCCCCTGCGGGCGTCCTGGGCGAGGTCGGCAAGCTGGCCGTTTTTCTGCAGCGCCTCCCACCGTGCCGGAGCGACCTGGCCTCAAAGCACGACGTCGAGAAGGAGACTGGCACCGAGCTCACTCGGGGCCTTCCAAATTGAAGGGGCCCTGGGACACACAAATAGATAGACACAAACACCAGGATTCCCAATCTTTTCCAATATTCCTAGGTGTTTTGTATGTTTTTGTCTACCCCCCACTTCCGATATTTTCCTATATGTTCTGGGGAGTCGGCGATTAATGTGTCTGTGTGTTTTTTCCCTCATTCCAGATGGGGTCAGAGTTGATGGAGTCGGAGGATCGCGCCGCATCTCCGAGGTATCTGCGATGCATCTGCGATGCCTCGGCGATGCATCGGCGATGTCGGCGACGCGGCGGCGACGTCCGCGTGGAGAAGATCGGGCTCCACATCGAGCCGCATCGCCGATGCATCGGCGACGCGGCGCGATCCTCCGAACCCATCTACTCGGACCCCGCCTGGGGGTCCTCGGATAACAACATCGATCAGAAGACTGCCACCAAGCTCACGGCCTTGTCCGAGGAAGGGGAGAGACGGCGTGTTGGCGGCGGCCGGGGTGCTCGAACTGGTGGGGGCCCCAGGGAAAAAATCGGTCAGGAGGGGGCTGGAGCCAGTGCTGGGCCAACTCGGACCCCCAGACGGCTCCAAGCTGCCGCCAAGCTCACCGCCGAGCCTGAGGAAAGGGGGGCTGAGTGGCGTGCCCCAAAGGCGTGGCACGAGGCGAGGCTGCAGTGCGCATGGCTGCTGCCGCGTAGCGTCGTGGAGCCTCTGGGGCAGGCTGGGGCCATCGCGGCGCGCAGCGGTGCCCCTCCCAACGAAAGGGACGGAGTACAACAGCGCGTCAACCGGGGACGAGGAATACGACGAGTGAGAAAATATTGCCACTCCGCTGGGATAATGCAGTCACCGCCGCGAGCGTGCAGCAGAGGCGGCCCAAAGACACGCCGGCGCCCCCGCAAACACGGTAGATTACCTCCTCCTCCTCCTCCTCCTCCTCCTCCTCCTCCTCCTACTCCTCCTCCTCCTCCTCCTCCTCCTCCTCCTCCTCCCCCTCGTCCTCGTGCAAAGAACCAGGCCCTGACGAAAACGGGTCCTGGACTCGAGGGCCTTCCACTGGGACCAACTCTTCATCCTGAGCACATGTCTGTGAGCCCCAAAGCCCCAGAACGGCGCCGGGAGCCCAGCAAGCGAAGACAGGACTCATGACCCGTTTCCCTCTGGACTTAGGTCGGGCATGTCCTCCCACAGACGGATTATGAGAAACAGCATCGAAAACAGTTCAAACAATTCAAAAGTGGCCAAACATATAGACAAAACACGTATCCAGACTATTTCAATACTTATTCCTGGTTCTGCCTACTGTAGAGGGACGTGCCCGACTTATCTCTAGATCCCAATCCTTCCATGTCTGTCCTTTCGCAACCCCCTTTAGCGAGCCGCTTGGGTGAATCCAACTTTCGTTCTCACGCTATGCGCGCGACAAGAACATCGGCCTTCGACTGCGATGCTTCCGTGCCGATCTTACCTCTTACCGTTACGCGTGAGCACATGCCATCGTATTGCAACGAGGGGCACATCACTGCATCCACCAATACACCATCCCGATCCCGAGTGCTCCCAGCTCCTCCTGGTACCGCTTACCCCTCTCCTTCATGGCGGTATTCCCCCTCCAACTCCTCGTCGAAGCCTCGCACCTGCGGACAAACTCGCCCCGATGCGCCGATGCCCTCCTCGGCCAACTCCTCCTCCGTGCTCCCGACTCTGCCTGGTACCGCTCACCCCTTTCATTCACGGCGATCTTCCCCTCCAACCTCTCCTCCTCTTCCTCCTCCTCCTCCTCCTCCCCCTCCTCCTCCTCCTCCTGGCCAGCGCTCTCCTGGATCTTTGCGCGGGCGTCCTCCACGTCCGTGGAGGCCTCCTGGGCGGTGGCCTGCAGCATGTCCTCGCCACGGGCGGGAGGGCCACCGCCACTCCCGGCATCCTCCGCCCGCCAGGGCTGGTCCTAAACGTTGCTCTTTGTTTTCCGTTTTGCTTTTCGTCTTGCTCTACCTGTTTTCCCGGTGCACCCCTGCCAAAACGAAAAACAAAGCACAGCCCGAGTCCAACAGAACAGCGGTTAGGCCCAGCCCTGTCGCCCCCCCCCTCCCCAGACCTCCGGCTGCCTCCATTTTTGTTCGATGCGCGGGCCCCGGAGGTCTGGACCACCTCCCCAGGGCCGGTTTTTCACCCCAGGCCGTGTTTGACGCTCCCGAGGCCCGGCGAGGGCCCCTGGAGGCTGAACACAGCCCCAGCACCGCCCGCTCCAGTCTTCCTGGAGCGGCGGAGCTCTGGGCCTTCTCCCGACGCCCTGGCCTCAACAGCCCGTGGCACACGTGGCGCGCGAGGGAGCACTCTGCGCACCTGCCGCGCCGGGCGCGCCATTGGCACGCCCGGGCCCCTGCGGGGCACCTGGCGACGCCTGGCCCGCGCGGCGCACCTGGCACCCCGCGAGCGCCGCGCACCTGGCGTCTGTGTTGGATCCCAGGTGCTGTCTGTCCTCCTCCTCCTCCTCCTCCTGCCCCTCCGCCTCGTCCTCCTTCTCCTCTTCCTCCTCCTCCACAATTACTCAATATGAATACTACTCTCCCTCTTCCCCCGATGGCGGCCTGAAAGTATTAGACCCCCCCCGCGTACCGTTTTTTGACACACAGGATTCCCGGGAGTTGGGTTTTCGCCTGCGTTTTTTTTCAAAATGCTGCTCTCGCTGAGGCGCCGGCCTCATTTCTGCTCCCGAATCGTTCCGAATCGTGCTCCCGCTGCAGCGTGGGCCTCATTTTCAGATCGGTGTTTGGCCTCCGTCGTTCAGGATGGCGTTCTCGCCCAGCGCGGGCCTCTTTCTCGCGCGCCCATCCGCCCGCCACCACCGCGCCGCACCACCACCACCACCACCACCACACCACCACCACCACCACCACCACCACCAGCACCACCACCACCACCACCACCACCACCACCACCACCACCACAACCACGCACACACGCACGCACGCACGCACGCACGCGCACCACCACCCACTACGCACGCGCGCGCGGAGCCACAGGTCCGCTACGACACGCGTCCGCGGATAGAGAAAATCAGCGCCATGGTAAGGGATGGGAGGGAGGGGTAGGACGTCAGATATGACGCGAGCGCACCTAGCTTGTGTTCCTCCCCCTCCCCCTCCCCCTCCCCCCTCCCCCCCTCCTCCTCCTCCTCCTCCTCCTCCTCCTCCTCCTCCTCCTCCTCCTCCTCCTCCTCCTCCTCCTCTCCCTCCTCCTCTCCCTCCTCCTCCTCCTCGTCCTCCTCCTTCCTCCTCCTCCTCCTCCTCCTTTCCCTCCCTATCCCCCTCCTCCATGGGTGCTGCGTGCTTGCATGGCAGGAGGGCGGGCGGGGGTGAGCGAGGCAGCCTGCGGAGTTCCGGTTGGACACTTCAGCCCCCCCTCCGAATACCGCGCCCCTGGACTGGATGGGAGGGTGGCGGGAGGTTAGAGCGTCCAGCATGGCCCAAAGCGGGCTCCAGATAGCCCAAGCTGACACACGCTAGCCCAAACTTGTTCATGGTGGGCACGGCAGCTTCCAGCATGCCTGCCTCGAATATGCCTCAAGACAGCTGGGCACGGAGCCTCCCATGGACGCCCCCGACAGGCAACATGCTTCAACGACCGTAGGGACATCAATGACTGTCGCCTTGTCGAAGGTTCACTTTCGATGGGCCTATGAGGCTTCAAGATGGCTAATGGCCGCAATGTCGCCCAAGGGGGCCCCACGAGTGGCCAACAAGGGCTCCAACCCGAGAGCGCCCAACTCAAGTCCCCAGACGCGTTTGTGCGGGCGGGCTCCGCGGGGGGGGGGGGGGCTCTAATGAATGCGGCTGTTGTTTGCTCGATGTCCTCCAAGACGGCCCCCAAGAGGGTCCAAGGAGTGCCTCAAGAGGAACCCGAAGATCTGAACATGAACATGGTTTCACAAAAGAGGTCCAAGGTGGCTTCCGGACGCCTCCAGGAGGCTCCCACAGCGAAACATCAGCTAACGCCTTACCGATTGGCCCCTGCCGTTTGTCGTCGCCTGCTCCCTCTCTCCTCCGCCGCCGCCGCCGCCGCTTCCTCCTCCTCCTCCTCCTCCTCCTCCTCCTCCTCCTACTCCTCCTCCTCCTTCTCATCCTTTCCTTCTAGTTTTCTTGCTGTTCTGCATTCGTGCAACAAGACGCTGCAAGCACATACACCTCGGAGGTCCACGTGGATTTCTTGGATCGGCGCTGGACCCCGCGTGGACCATCGGGACTGCATGTTTATGCAGCTTCTTGCGCTTCAATGCGTCCTCCCTTGCCTCATCCTGGCCCTCCGAGCGCACCAGACTTTGAGTGGCGGCGTATTTTGTCACAGTCGTTTGCTCTATGATTGGTTTCCTCCTCGTCATCTGCCTCCTCTTCCTCCACCCCTCTCTTCCCAGTGTCATACTTTCAGATGTATCCTTTCCTTGGCAAAACAAAGCGCCCTGGTATCATTCTGCACAAGCTGGTGTTAGGTCGGGCGTGTCCACCTACAGGCAGATTTGGACGAACAATCCGCCGGCCCCCTTGTGGAGCCACCAGGCTGTAGGCCGAAGCTTCGCAGTTTCCTGTACCAGTTGCAGCTTCTAGTTTCCACTGTTACAGTCTGCTTCTTGCTGCTTACTCTTTGCTTCTTGCTGCTTACTGTTCCTTGTTGATGGACCGCGCGAGGGGGGGAGGCCCAAAACAGGAATTTCTACCACGCCCTAAGCGTGTGCTCTGAATTGCTGGGGTGGGTAAAGGAAACACCCCTCACGCAGATCGACGGGGTCAGGGTCCAAAAACACATGAGATTTGCCACATTTCTGAAATTCGGTGGCACCCCTCAAGCAGATCGACGGGGTCAGGGCCTAAAAACACATGAGATTTGCCACATTTCTGACATTTGCTAGCACCCCTCACGCAGATCGGCAGGGTCAGGGTCCAAACACACATGAGATATGCCACATTTCTGACATTCGGTGGCACCCCTCGCGCAGATCGGCGGGGTCAGGGTCCAAAAACGCATTGGATTTGCTACATCTCTGCAATTCGGTGGCACCCCTCATGCAGATCGGCGTGGTCAGGGTCTAGAAGCACGATGGATTTGCAACATTTATGAAATTCGGTGGCACCCCTCACGCAGATCGGCGGGGTCAGGGTCCAAAAACACATGGGATTTGCAACATTTCTGAAATTCGGCGGCACCCCTCACGCAGATCGGCGGGGTCAGGGTTCAAAAACATATGGGATTTGCCACATTTCTGAAATTCGGCGGCACCCCTTCACGCAGATCGGCAGGGTCAGGGTCCAAAAACATAAACGATTTGACACAGTTCTGAAATTCGGCTGCGCCCCTTACGCAGATCGGCAGGGTCAGGGTCAGGGTCCAAAAACACTAGGGATTTGCCACGTTTCTGAAAGTCGGCGGCACCCCTCACGCAGATCCGTAGGGTCAGGGTCGGAAAACAATCAAGTCCCGACACTGCTTCACGGCGGCGCCCAGACCTCATGATTTAGCTTTTGCATCTCCCATTATCCGAGACACGGGGCCGGCGGCATGGGGCGAAGCCCTTACGGATTAACAGTGGTCAAAACATTCTCCACACAGGTTCAAGCATAGTCAAAACCAAAAAAAAACGTCCCCCGGTTATTTTTGGACTACTTTGGCATACTCCCTCTGTAGAGGGACGTGCCCGACTTACAAGCTGGTGGGGACACGCGGGGCGTCACACAGATCATCGCGCTGCACGGCCACAGGGAGCCTGCACGGGGCCGCCGTCCGACAGACACCGCTGGCGTGGCGCGCTCCGCCGGCGCAGTCGTCGGTAGAATGAGTCCGAGAGGGGCCCCTTGATCCTGAACAGACCCAGAGGGTCGGGGAACGTATTTTTTTACGCCCAGGGCGTAAAAATAAATATGTTGGATTGGGGTCGTAAAACGGGCGTGCGTCGGGGAAGCGGGGTGTAAAAGTACGTGCTGCACGATCTCGAAACATCCGCGGGCGGGGACAGGGCCGGAAAACATACACCCCCCCATCTCCCAATGTAGGCCAGGGGCTTGACACTTATATGTACGCATATGATTACAATATTATAATATAATATAATATATTACACTATGATGTAATATAATATAATAATGTATAATGGAATATAATATACTATACTATATTATAATACGATACAATTTAATATATTATACTATAATGTAATATAATACAATATAATAGCATATAACATAATTATATCGTATACTATAGTATAGTATAATGTAATATACGATGCTATACTATAATAGAAGTTAACCCAACACCTACGCATATATATATATATATATATATATATGTGTAAATGTATATTACAATATATACAAATGTGGGACGTTCATATATTACGATATACATATACAGTTTTTGTATCACGCCGAACAACGCGGGAATGGCTACCCCTCGGCCTCTTGGCCCGATCGGCCCTCTTGGCCCGCGGGCGCACGCTCGAGCGAGGCTCGCCCTCGCAAGCGATCGGGGGGGGGAGGACGGAGGATCGGGAGGGGAGGAAAAGGACGAATGGGGCGGGCGAGGAGAACGAGGAGGAGGGGGACTGAGGAGGGAGGCAGGGGAGGTGGAGGAGGATGGGGAGGAGAAACCCTCAAACGAGCCACCGTTTTGAACGAGCACGCCGAGCGCTGCGGAAGTATGCGGAGGGCGAGGGAGGGAGGGGATCGGGAGAGAAGGGAGGGGAAGCGGAGGGAGGGGCAGGAAGGAGAGGAGAGAGGGGGGCGGATATGAGGAGAGGAGGGGGGAAGCCTTGGGAGCAGAGGCCTTTGTCGTTAATTAGGGGTTCCGCGGCGGGGGGCAGAAACAACAACGACTTCCCGCAGGCGGAGAAGGGCG